GGCTGCTTTTAGTCACCGTGGTGCTAAAACCTCCACCAGCTTCCTTCCCACAGCTATGAAATAGGTACAATTGGTCCCTACTGCACTGGGATGTTGGGGACAAAGGGCCTATACGAGAGGCCCGGAGGGTGCCCAGTGAAGGTGCATTCTGTTCTCTTCCCCAGTTCCCTCGTCCCCTGTCTCAAAGCTCCCCCGGGACCGGGAGGAAGGGTGGCCCCATTTGCTCTTTCTCCAAGGACACACATCCCTAGTCCAAGTCCGGTACAGCGCCCGGCACGCGGCCAGCGCTCGCCGAGTGTGGCTGACCCACATGGATGATCTGTGAGTCCCAACCGTGTCCTTTGGATTGCAAACTGGGGACCCCTCTCAGTCCAACATTACTCAGTGAGGCAGAAAGCTGTGGCCACCACCACGAAGACAATTCTCTTGGTGCCCAGAGGACTCCACTCTCAGGCCACTGGGATTTTCAGGCTTCTCTCAGCGGAAAGGAGCCGAAAGAAACGAAGGTGGCCCCCGAGCCCAGGCAGGGCAGGTGTCTCCCACAGGCAAACCCAGCTGGCTCTCATCCCCACCACGAACCCCAACTGCAGACATCCTCACGTATCGGGGGCATTAACCTTCCTTCCACCGCAGGCTCTGGGGAGAGACGGTGGGCACGTAAGCACTTAAAACTTGAACCTGCGGGTCAGCCCTCCTTCCTCCCTCCCTCCTTCGCAGAAGCTCAGGAGTCAGAGGCTGCATGGGGACAGACGCCACAGCCTTGGAGAGACAAGTCACATCCTCAGCTTCCCTCAACCTGTTCGAGCACCGAGTTGCCATGGCGACGCTGCAGCCCTGAGATGCATTGGCTGCAGCTAGCATGGGTGCTTCTAGGGCTCAAAGCCGAGTGGATGAGGTCTGGCCTCGTGGGCCAGGGCCGGGGCGAGGGGGGGGGGGGGGCCCTCCTCTAGGCTCAGCTGGTAATTGCTGCTAAGTGAGGGGCTGTCATTGAACCCAATATGCAGGCACCCTGTAATTACCGCACCAGACAGCGGGTGCTTACTCCCTGCGTGGGGAGAGGGGGACGCAGGGGGAGCAGACAGGAAGCTCTCATCCACCTGAGCCGGCGGGGCTGTGGCAGGCTCTCTCCAGCAGCGGCGGGAGGCCCCCAGCCCCTCCTCTCTGCTGGCTCTCCCCAGTCATCCGTCATCCGGTGTGGAATACTGTCGCCTTTAATCCTGGCCTCTGAGCTTGTAGAATCCGAGGGGGGCAGAGGTGCAGACACAGATAAGGCACCACCTCAGGGGAGCTCTTGGTGTTGTCCCCCTCGTTTCCAGAGGAAGCGTGTCTGCATCGTGCTGCCCTGCTGGAGGCAGCTGTCGTTCTAGTTCCGGCACGCCTGGGTGGCTGGGTCGGTTGAGGTCTGACTTCGGGTCAGGTCACGATCTTGCAGTTCAAGAGTTCAAGCCCCCCGTGTGCTGACAGCTCAGAGCCCGGAGCCTGCTTCAGATTCTGTGTCTCCCTCTCCCTCTCCCTGCCTCTCCTCTCCCCACCCCCGTTTGCGCTTGGTCTCTCAAAAATAAAACATTTAAAAAAATCTTGTTCTAGTTCCTCTGGAGCCTGGAGGCTCTGAGGACCTCAGGCTAGTCACTGCCCCTCCTAAGCCTCAGTTTCCTTTGCTGTACGACCAGAAGGTGGGTCTCAATCATTCTTAAGGGTTTTTCTACAGCAGGGGTTGGCAAGCCAGAGGCCACAAGCTGAATCCCGTTTTTGTAGGGTTTTGCTGGAACGCAGCCACACCCTCTGGCTCCGGTGTTCCTGTCTGGTGTCCCTGTCTGCTTTCCGGCTACAATGGCAGACCTGAGTAGCTGTGATAGGGACTATGAGGCCCTTTACAGAAAGTTCGCGGACCTGTTTCTAAAGTATCGATGTTTCCCTAGGCTTAACCGAGGAAGCTTCTGTCACTTCGATGTGATGAGAACAACTCATTAGCAAGCCCTATCCTGGTCCCCACCCACAGACACCACAGTCCTCTTCCAAGGACCCCAGCCTGGATTTGGAGAGCGGAGGCAGGCGGGGTGGTGCCGAGTCGCCGCGTGGTGCAATGGCGCCACCTGCTGTGAGTGCCTGAAAACACTTCTGCCTGGAAATACTTGTCCCCACGAGGGGCTGGGGGGTGGGGGCAGTGGGGGAGGAGCCGGCTCCCAGGAGCAGCCCAGGCTTCGGAACCCTTGCACATCAGAGCCAGGATCTCGCACCGTCCTCCCCATTTTATGAAGACTGCAGCGTAGAGGGGCGGCCTGGCCTGACTGGTCCAAGGTAGGGGGAGCAGGAAGCTCAGGTCCCGGAGGCTCGGAGGCCACTCCATCTATGTTCCGCGGGCACAGACTTGGCATACAGACCCGGCGGTGAATCCTTGTTCCATCACTCATTTGGGGTCTCGGTTCCACGGCTGTTGAAAGCATTCTCAAAACAAACACGTAACATCTGTTACCAATTCGGACTCAATCTTCTGAATAACTCTGAAATAATTCTTCCCATTGCACGGGTTAAGACACTGTGGTACAGAGAGTTTAAGTAATTCGCTTAAGGTCACAGAGCTAGCGACAGTCAGGATTCAAATCCAGGCTATGAAAGCACTACACGCCCCAGAACACCACTCTATACATTTTTTTCCTGCCTGCAGGTGTGCTGGGGCCCCAAGAGAGGGCCCAGGGGCCCAGAGGAACCCAAGAGATGCAGGGAAGCCTGGAGTCTGCCCAGTCATCTGCAGAAGCCCCAGCCAGGAACGAGAGTGAGGCCCCCGCCACCCCCTCCTGCCCCCATGCCTCCAGGCAACACGAAGTGGCCGGCGGACCGTAAATCCTTTATTTCCAAACTATAAATAGATCTGCTCTCTGAGAAAAGACACTGTCCAGGTGATGAGGCTCCAGCCTCTCCTTCTCCCCTTCCCAAGTGCTCCGCAGTCTAAACCCAGTGCCCCAAGAAACCCGCTGTGCCCCGGAAAGCACCACCTTGGCCGCCAGAGCCTGGCAAGTGGCCGAGGACCGCCCATTCCCTTGTCCCGCTGGGCCTCCAGCACGGCCTCGGCCCTGCTCTGGCCCGACGCGCACCCCGCAGTCTCCTCAGCTCCCCAAGCGAGCCCCGCCAGGCGGTTGCGCGCTCCCCAAGGCCCGGCCTGGGAGAGGCCTGGCCCGCTGCTCCCCAGCTGCCGCGAAGGGCCCCCTGGGTCCCCGAGCTGCTGTGAGGTGTGAGGGCGGGGAGAGGCCTGCCTCCAAGCTGGTCTCCCGGCTGGTCACTGCTGCCCCTGGGCCACGAAGTACGCCTCTTCTTCCTCATTGTCGTCCTCCTCTGGCTGCCCGCTCCGGAGCAGCAGCTCCAGGTCGGGGTGGGAGCCCAGCCCCTTCGAGGGCTTAGGGCCCCCATCACCTGGAGACAGAGAGAAGCCAGCTGCAGACCACTGGTGCTTTCCTTGGCGTGCCCCGATGGGGGTGTTGAGTCGCCTAGGCCCCCACCCACTCCCCGCCCGCTCCCAGGACACCGCCCGTCTTCTCGGAGTGACGGTGGCAGGATCGCCGGGCTTACTCCCTGGCGGAGGGGCGGCCGATGCAGAGGCGGCTGAGCCGTGCGGACCGCCACCGGGCTGGAACCGCCTGTGGGCACGCCGAGGGCCACCTGCCTCTTCCTGGCTGGGTGGCTGGGGACCCAGGGCCGGGTCGAGGGGAGAGCAGAGGGACTGAGTCACGAGGAGAACACCTTCAGAAAAGAGGCCTCGGGAAGGGGCTCCGGTTTACCTCTGGAGTGCAGGGCTTTGAGAGCAACGTGCAGGGATATGCCCGAGAGGCAGAGGGCGAAGCCCAGCCAGTTCAGGAGGCTGATCTGGTCCCCCAGCAGGTGAGCTGCCAGCAGCAGAGTGCAGACCTCCTGAGGGCAGACAGGCGGGAAGGGCAAGTGATCAGGAGGAGGAGGTGGCCCCTTTGCCAGGAAGGTGGACGGCAAGGCCACCACCACAGGGGAGAGCCTGACCTGCCCGAACTCCCGGGGCCTGGACGGGCTGGCCAGCTGGGCAAAAAAGGGGCTTCCCTGCGCCCAGAAGATCAGGCCTGCCTGCAGGGCTTTCCTCCCCTCGCGCCGCTAAGATGCGACAAAGCAGATGTTTGCATAGTTGTCGCGTCAGGGCTACGAGGGGGGCAAACCAAACTCGGGGCTGGGAGCAGAGCGCCTGGCCCACAGCCCTGTCCGCAGGAATAAAGGGCGGCCACACCTGCGGATGGACAGCCCGACAACGCCACAGGAGAATGCAGTGTCACAGGGCTCCGCGGGACACACGCTGGCCACAGGGCTCTTCACGTGGTGGCTGTCATACATAGTGGCTGCAAATGGGGCTGGTGGGACGGCTCATTCTGAGAACCACAGCTCACGCCTCGTCTAAGCCCCTTGGGGAGACTTACGGTTCTGGGTTTGGGCAACACTAGTCCAGCACCTGTGTCTGCTCTTAGTCAAGGTGAAACTGTACCGCCCCACGGCCCTGAGCAGGGTGGGGTGAGAGGCGGCAGGGGAGGGGGAAGCTGAGAGCAGAGGCATGCGTGTGGCCAGGCAGCAGTAAAGGCAAGACAGGCAAACACAGGGCACTCATGCCTAGCACTGCCCCTTACTCTGACCACGGCAGGCATCACCAATCAATCATCGAACTCTCTCCCCATGAGTCTGGATGGGGCTTCTCAACCCAACTGCAGGCCACGGCCAGGCAGCCAGAGTCGGCATTCACGGTAAAATGAGAATGTGTCCCAGGCCTGGTGGTCCGAATCCCAACTCGGCCACACACTGGCTGGGTATCTGTGGGTAGATCAGCCCATCTGTGGAATGGGGATGACCGCCCTTACCCCCAGAGCTGCGGCCACGATGGGAGTTACAGACAGGAGCATGGCACACGGCACCCTAACAAGGCACTTCCGTCTCCTCTGCAGGGCCCTGGGGCACGGGAGCTGGGACCGAAGCTGCGACTGAGCTTGGGGGCTGCACTCTAAGACAGGACCAGAGCCACCCCCAAGTCTGTACCTTAAAAATGCCAGCAATGGAGAGAGTGAGGCTGGAGGTTCTGGAGACCAGGAGGAACTCGGAGAAGCCCAAACCGAAGGCGAGAATCCCGCCAAGGAAGAGGCTCCCTAGTACCCGCAGGAGCAGCCCTGTGTCCTGGAAACGGAAGATTTTCTCAGACGTGGACAAATGGAGACCTGAAAGCAGAGGGGGGAGACAGCGGGAGGCCGCGTCCTGGGTGAGCCTGCCTGGGTGGCCTCACCCTGCCCGGCGAGCAGAAGAGCCAGCACTGTTGCAGCCACGCCCCCTGAGCACCTGCAGACTGGCCGAGGCCCAGAGGACAGGACAGGCAGGGAAGAGAACCCTGCGGCAGATGGCCTGACACTTGGGGGGCCGGGGAAGCAGTGATGGTTCCCAGAGAGTCTCACAGGGAGCCACGTGGAGGGCTTCCGAGCCACTGGGCTCGGGTAGAGAGCACGGCACTTCACAGAACATCGGCCGGAAACATCTGTCCCTTCCCACGGTATGTACCTGTCTTTGGGAAGGAGGGTGACTTCATGTGGCCCTTGCTGCTGTGGTTAAGAGAGGAGGCGGGCAGCCCACCCCGTGAGGACTGTCAATGCCCTGGGCCACCTACCAACAGTGACGAGTCTTATCCTCACAAACCTTCCCCGCTTTAATCCCGGTCTTGCTATCACCCAGCTGTGGCACTAGGTTGAGATGTGTCCTCTTTCAGGACCAGTTTCCCCAGTGATAAAATGAGAGCATTTCGACAAGCCCAGCGTTTCTCAGAAAGTAGAATGTGACAAACAGTTCTCAGAAAGTATACACACACACGCAAATATAGGACAAAGCATTCTAAAGACACCCGCATGGGCACCCACACACCAAAGTTTGCTCGACTTCCAGAGGATTCCCGGCCCTCCAACACGAACCCTCTGAGAGAGTGATTTTGCAGGTCTGTCTGCACAAGAACAGCCCGAGCTAGGCACAGCAGAGACACTTGGGGGCGGGGGGGGGGGGCCCGGGCGCGGGGATGGAGGGTGGCCAGGCACTTGGGAGATTTTTGGAGGGAAGCACCAAAGAAATGCAGAGTGACGGTCCCTCCCAGGCAAACAGCCTCACGATGTAGGACATCTTGTCTGGTGCTGGGCTCAGCAGTACCGCAAAGGCGTCGGCAAATTGAAGGGAATTCGGGAAAGAGCAACATAAGTAATGAAGGCGCTTGGGGGATTAATTTACCAGAAAAGATTAAAGGAGCTAAATCCACGCAGCTTTGCTAAGTGACGACTATCAGGGCTTTCGGATGAGGGTCTGCGGAGACGGGGAGCAGTGTAAACAGCCAGGACAGGAGGCGGCGGCTGTGGGCACGGGGGGGGGGGGCCCACCGATGGGGGGGGGGGAGGGGAGACATTAAAAAGGAGAAAAACGAGGCTGCAGAAGTTTCCTGGACAACGGGGCTGCAGAATAATTTTCTCAGAGAGGTTTGAGACGCTTCACTGCTTGAAACTGAAATGGATGTGGGACAGAATGCTCTGAAATGACCCTGAGGACAGAAAGGACTCTGGGAGGAAGGAGAAACAGACAGGCAACAAAGACTAATCTCAAAACATGGGAGGAAGGAAGGACATGGAGTGCACTGCCAGCCTAGACCATTCTCCCTGCCTCGCCTCGCCTCTCCCCTCTCCGGGCGGCAATGGTGGGCGGGACTGCTCACCAGCCCAGACTCCTGTACAAGGGCTGGCCGCACAGAGTCCGGCACACTCCCCCTGTCCCAACCTACTGTTCCGCCACCAACGGCCTGTCAAAGTCCCAACCAGCCTCCGAAATACGTTGCCTGGTAAGCCTTTCTGACTTGGCTTTCCACCCTAGCATCCTGAAATAATTCATGGCCTTCCGTTCCTTCTAAGAGACAGAACACATCATGGTTAACACGAAGGACTTGGAAGCCAGCTGCTGGAACCAAATGCTGGCTTGTTTATGAACCACAGGACCTTGGGCAAGGTTATCTTCTCCCCACTTGTTTCTTTAACTTGTGCGATGGGCATAATGATAGTACGGCCATGTGGGGTTTTGGGGTGTATGAGTTAGTATGTTTAAAATGATCAGAAGAGCCTGGCACACCTGTCCGCGTCCATTGTCATCATCATCTGCTGTCTTTCATACACACTTTCTGTGTAAGCATTTATCATGCTGGATTCCAGCCATCCGGTTTAATGTCTGTCTGGCCCTTGAACCAGGCACTACCAAGGGACGGACTACACCTCTGATGTCTGTAAACTCTGCAGCTACCACAGGGCTGGGCTCAGAGCAGGGACCGGGGATCTGTTGTACCGAGGGGCCGCCAAGATGGACGACCGAACCTACCTTCAAATATGGCAAAGAGAGGGAAGAGCCCCAGAAACATGAGTGGCTGCAGGTGGAACATGGTGTCAATGGGGTTCTGGAGCCCTGCAGAATGGGGACACGGGTGAGCTGCCAGGCCTGGCCTGGCCTGCCCCCACCCTGCCCGGTGCCCCCAGGCCCCTCTCTCACCAAGTTCGGCCTTCTGCAGGAGCATCTGGGTTAGGGTCCAGCGGATGCCGCCGATGAACGAGGCCCCCAGCACCAAGGCAAAGCCCTCCACGTTGAACTGTGTGGACTTGTACGTGAACATGAAGAGGCCCCCGGCGATGAGGAGGACCACCAGGACCAGCGCTGCGCGCTATCAGGATGAGGAGCAGTGGCAACTAACTGTGGGCTCTTGAGTTCCTCAAACCTGGAGTTTAGGCTCGGTAGCCATGTTGGCTGACCCTGAGGCAGGAAACCCTTCTCCCCCTCGACCTTGGGGGTCCCGGCCAGCAACTTCCCATCAATGTAGGCACGGCTGACGTTCAGTAGACATGTACCCTGCATCCCTCCTTGATCTGAACTTCTTTAGCGCTTTCCTTTGGTTATAGCAAAGGGCCAGCTCTGCCTGGTCCCTGACCTTGAACCCTTTCTCCTTTGGTCATTCTTTTGGTCATTCCACCTGCCACGCCAGTGGCTAAGTATTATCAGCAGTGGCCTGTCCTAGGTCCTTCCTCAGTGACAGGAGTTACTGCCACCTGGGCTCGTTTCCTCTGTCACATACAGTGATTAGCTACTGCCCAGTCCTCCCTTTTATTCTTAGCATCTGTGGGGGTAGGAGGGACCAGGGGAGCTGAGGCCTCACCAGCTCCTCCAGCTTGAAGATCAGCGAGAAGATCAGGATGAAGAGGACAGCGGAGGACTTGGTCATCGTGTACCTGCAAGGACAAAGTACCCACGATGCACCGCCAGGGCTCAGGGCTCAGACCCGCCACCAGGAGAGGAGCCCACGGACATTGCTGGAAAAGGCGGGAGGCCGGGGGACCTCTGATTTCCCTGAGGGCAGCTGGCTCTGCTCAGGGCAGCCAGGCAATCTGGGTACAGAAGACCACAGGAAGGCAGCAGCCTGAGTCATCTGGACTGATGACGTGACCTTTAATCAGAAGAAATCTTGGCCTAAGAGGACTCTTGCTACCGCCAGAGAGAAAAGGCCGCGGGTTGGACGCTGAGCTCACTAAGTCCTATTATACCTGCTCCTCCGTGGAGACCGGGATGAGGAAGGAAGGAGGAGAGGAGAAAAAGGCGGCAAAGGCTGTGCTCCCTGAAGTGCAGAGTCAGAGAGGAGAGAGGACGGTCACACCCGCCCTTCTGCGCAGCCACAGGCACCACACACCAGTCAGTGCCCTCTCTCCCCTGCATACGGTCACCACTCTGAGTCCCTGGCTCCCCCCCGGGCCGCCGGGCAGGCAGGCACAGCACCCCTGCGAGCTGAGTTTACCGCAGGGGCTGTCAGCTTCCCAGAGAGCTGCTGGGTGTCAGGAAGGAGCGGAGATCAAGGGCCGGTCCCAGAGAGGGGTACGGCGCTGGCCCACCGGCAGGGCGCGCGCGAAAGGCTGGACGGAGGTGGCGGGGTGTGGCCGGTACTCACAGCGAGACGGTGATGTAGAGGAAGCTCCAGTTGGACAAGCCCACGTCAAGCGCTGTTGCCAGTGCTGTGGAGACAGGGGCGCCCCCGGACGTGCAGCCAGGGCAGGCCGGCACGCGAGCGCCGGCTGCTCAGACACCTCCGAGAGGCCCCCGAGCGCTCCCTGCTTTGCCCCGAACACCCCGGCTTTCTCTGGGGCCCTCGGGCCTTCCTTTCACAGCAGCTGAAGGGTCAACTCCTGGCCACAAAACGCAGGGGGTTCCGCTCCAGCATTAGGACTGGGTAGTTCCCAGTGGCTAAACATGGCGAATGTGTGAATGTCCCTTCCCTCAGGAGAGAGGCACACTCGTCCTGGAGGCCTGGGTCCTCCAGGGTCTGTCCCTGCCACCCCCTCATTTCTCCCACTTCCCCTCACCAGCGCTGAGTCTCGGCGTCCGAAGACGCTTTCAGTTCCCTTTCAGACCCGCACACGCACTGAAGCCTCGGCCGCTGTAGCCCAAGCTCTGGGAAGCCTCCCCCTGGGCCTGGGCTGGTGCCTCTGGGCTCCCAGGCACCCCTCATCGTCCCACTACCGCCAGGACAGGGACGAGACTCTGCTCACTGCCGTCTCCAGGGCAGGTGTCGGCTCAGCATACACATCGAAGGGCCAGACAACGACAAGGCCATTGCTGCCTCCATGTGCACGGGAGCGCGCGCACTGTGTGTGCGTTGGGGAGGGGGGAGCTGGGGAGTGCATAAGAGGCAGAAGCAGGGCCGGGCTGGGAGGGGAGGCAGGAAGAGAGGAGCGGGAGGGCCTAAGCTCCGAGACATCAAGCCCTTGTGTTCTTAGCCTGTGGCTTTCCAAGTGCCCTCCTCTGCCCCGGCCCCAGGCAGGCCTGTACCTGTGGGAGCTACTCTCCTGAGGTAGTCCGTCCAGCTGAGCACCACGCGGGCCCTGTGGCTGGAGCACTGAACCAGCGCCCTGGACAGGGCGGAGAACAGGAAGATCACGGCCAGGTGCAGCATCGTCATGAAGAGGGGGAAGTGGAAGCTCTACGGAGCCCAACCCCCCCCCCCCCCCGCGGGGGCCCCCGCCCCCCCCCCCCCCCCCCCCCCCCCCCCCCCGCCGTCCGGTGGCAGCGACGCCAACCGGGTGGCTCCCGAGGGTCTGCAGCAGCCCAGGGGCTTTCACCCACGTTATAATCACTGGAGACAAGAGACGTGTGGTTCCAATTTCAGAAGTCACACAGAGAGCAGGTGGCGGGCATGGCGCCGTCCCCACCGCCCTCAGCCTCCTGCTGCGGCCCCTCCCCAGGAAGGGCCTGTGCGGCCGGCTCAGCTGCACCGGTCATGAAAACCCCGAAACGCTTCTCCACTGGCCGGTGAGCAGCTGCCTCCTTAAGCCTCCCTAGTACCCCCACTCATCCTCAGTCCTCCCCCTTTCCCGGTTTCCCCTCCCTCCGCCCGTTTGAGGGGAAGCCTTGGCACGGTGGGGCTCTAGGGCCCGGTCCCATCACCAGCGTGACTGACTTCCAGTCTGACTGGCTGAAGCCTGTGCCGTCCTGTTGCTAAATATTAGGGGTCGCTGTAGCCACGGCCACAGTCACCTGCCACCCAGCCCCCTGCCCGGCAAGGACCCCATTACCTTGGTGAGCCATTTGTTGTAGAAGGTGATGCCGATGGAGAAGCAGTAATAGAGGAGGACCAGCCCCAGAGTCAACACCGCCTTCCACACAAAGGCCACGTCGAAGGCCCACCTCCCCATCCGGGGAAGCCGCAACCCCCTAGCTCTGGGTCGGTGGGAGCCTCTCCCGAAGACAGGAAGGGCCGGCCAAGCTGGGCCACAACTTTCAACAGGAAGGTCTCCTGGCCGGAAGAGTCCTCTTTGCCTCCATGATTCAGAATCGTCCACGGAGCCCCAGGCAGAGTCCTCACCTAAGGGGCTGGTGGCCCAGGCCAACCCTCTCCATGATTAAGTGGACGCAGGGCTCACACGTCCCCAGGGCGGAGGCTAGAAGAATGGAAAGGAAAGAGGGCTGTCTGACCGGTCTACCCCACCCCTGCCCGCAGGGGGCAGGCCAGAGTGGACTCAGCAGGAGCAGGAAGGGGCCCAAGCCCAGCACAGGCCCTCACGGGAGCTCTAATCACGTCAGCTCTGTCGCCTCAAGCCGTTCTCCGTGAATTGCCACCAAAGTGACCTTTTAAGAACGTAAATCTGATCATGTCAGATCAGACGTCGGCCCTTCAGTGGCTCCCAGTGCTCTTATGATAAAGACCAAAAGCCTTTCTGTCCGCTAAGACGGCCTGATCTGTCCCTGCTGGGCTCTGTCCCCATCCCACCGGCCACCTCAGCTCCCCAAACACACAGGCTTTTTCCTACCTCCTGAAGGAATGGACCTGCCACCCTTCTCCATTCCTGTCTCACCTGGTCCTAGTCAACTTCAGCTCAAATGTCACTTCCTCGGGGGCTACCCTGTGATGGGGCTGCTCTCACGGCCCCCTACTTTTCCTTCAGTGCCCTTGTGCGGGGCATGGTCATCTGAGTGACGTCTCTGTCCCCTGGGAGGCTGTGAGCTCCGTGAAGACAGGAACCACCGTGCCCCTTAGTCTTACGCCCACCGGGCACATCGTGAGTTTCCCATACGGTTCGATGGCTCAGCGCAAGACACCGGGCACTTGGTTCTCTGGGGGCTGATCTGGTCTTTGAGGCGTTAAAAATGGACCAGGAAACCAACACCTCCTGCCCCCAGCCTCTAACAAGCACTCCCCTAGTCACCGTGCCCGCCTGAGGCTCTTGCCAAACCTCACCGCTCCCAGCCTATCGATGCAGGCGACTCTAGTGAGTGTCCAGAGTGTGTGGGCTCTGCGGACACCGGGCGGACCCAGGTCCCGAGCTATCCTGCCCGTTGCTTCATCTGTGCATCCCTCCGGTCCCCATCTCCTCCACGGAGAGGTTCCCAACCTGCTCCAGTGCCGCCACCTTCTCCAAGCCTTCCTAGAACCATCTGCTCAGACATCTACTTTCCCCACCCCCAGCCCTTTCCGAAAGGAGGAAGTGCATTCAGTTCTGGACAGGGAAGCCGGGTTATCGTTTCCCCTCCCCCAAGGCGAGGTGGGAGCCAGCACAAGGCTTTGCCCAGAGGATACCCCCCTGCCTCCCCCCCCCCCCCCGGGCTGCTGTTCTCTCCAGGGGAGCTTTGGAACCTGCCGGTGGTATTTTGGGGGAATTCTAGCTTTTTTTTTTTTTCAAGTTTATTTATTTATATTGATAGAGATGGCATGTGAGCAGGGGAGGAGCAGAGAGAGAGAGAGAGGGAGAGAGAGAGAGAATCCCAAGCAGGATCCATTGTCAGCACAGAGTCTGACGTGGGGCTCCAACTCATGAACCGTGAGATCATGACCTGAGCCGAAACCAAGAGCCAGTCAGGCGCCCCAGAACCCTCCTAGCTTTTAGTGGGGGGTGGAGGGGGGGGGGAGACAGTCCACATAACTAAGACACGCTCTGGATCCTTTGTAGGGTAGAAGACTTACTTAAAATTACCTGAATCTAGAACCCAACTCTGTGTGTGTGTGTGTGTGTGTGTGTGCGCGCGCGTGCTTTTAAGTAAATTCTACCCCCAGCGTGGGGCTCCAACTCATGACCCCAAGATCCAGGGTTGCACGCTGTACTGAGCCAGCCAGGTGTCCCCAGACCCCAACTGTCTTACATGTGACACAGAGCAGTCTTTCCGTGGTTCCACAATGCACTGAAATTCGTTTGCCACGTACACCGAGGAGACGGCACTGCTTTTGATAAACGGTTTGGAGAAACCACGACATCCACAGCAATGGCACACGTGGTGTTTGAGCTGTCACGCTCAAACGTGGCTGGGGCACTGAGCACAGGAGCTACCGCGTTCCCGGGGGTTCTGTGGGGTGGTGAAAGCATGGACTGCTTCCTCGCGGCTTCTAGCATCCTTGGACTCGGAAATTTACACATCGAAACACATTTTATTGCCGATTACCTTTTATTAGCAATAAGCTGACATCTCCCCAGCGTGTAGCCCTCCCTCTGACCTCGTCGTCAACTCCAGAGGAATAGCCAGTGGCCGACTGTCTGTCCGCACCTGGATGCCTAGTGTCCGGCACCCACCCCTAGCCTGCCCAGCGCGGACTCCTGTTTCCCAGCAGGCGTCCAAACCTGCCCCTCCTCCCACCGCAGCCAGTGACACCTCCGTCCACCTAGGGGCTCAGGCCACAAATCTCGCCCCCAGCCTGATTCCTCTCTCCTTCAGCCCACGTGCCATCGGCAAGTACTGTCACCTCAGGCTTCAAAAACATCCCCGATCTGGTCACATCTCCTGTCCTCCACCACTGCCCTCCGGGCCGCCATCCTCTCCCCCCACCACACGATGCGCAGTCTCCTCCACTTCTCCCCACATCTCCTGCAGGTCAGGCTCCTGCCTGCCCAGCTGGGGAGTGGGGCACACGGGCACCAAACCTACACCTAACAGGTCTTAAGGCCCACACGCTTTCCCTATACCTAGGTTTCTCAATCTTGGCATTACGGACAGGTGGGGCCAGATCATTCTCTGTGCCCTGTGGGATGTCTAGGAATGTTCCTGGTCTCCATCTACTAGGTGCCCATCATGGTCCCTCATCCTCAGCTGTGACAACCAAAAAAGTCTCCAGAGGCCATGGGGGGCAAAACCGCTCCCTGCTGAGAACATGCCTGCTTACACCGCACAGGCAACCACACGGCGTTATATCCTCTAGCACTCGCTCCCCAGGGTTCCCCACCCATGGCTCCCAAGCCAGGGCAGTCTACATATTTCCGTGAGTCAACTTCTTGCATCTTCTGCTTTTGGTGCAGTTCCCATTCCAACGCCGCGATCTGTGCACCCCACCTCCCCGCCCTGTTCACGGCCTACCCTGCCTTCGCCAGTCCAGGTCCTCCACCTCCAAAAAGTCCCCATGACTACCCCAGCCCGCGGCGAGCACGGTCTCCAAGTTAACAACACTCATTCTCTTATTATGAGTCACCTAACCCCAAACACAAGGTCAGACTTCAGCCAGAAGGGCTCTTGGAAATCATTTGGCCACTTACTCAATGTGCATTTATCAAGTGCCACTGTATACCCAGCCCTGGAGACAGAGACAGGTAACTGATAAGATCTCTGCCTTTCTTTTAGGATAAGGGAAACCAGCCCGAAAGGGGCAAATGCTCTTTTTCAAATCACATTTGCCAAGAAAGGAATTCTATGTTGGCCTTACTTTTCCCCAGGGGGCAGCCTGGCTGGGAGCAGCAGCCCCCTCAGGGGAGGGCACCGTAGCACCTGGCCCCCCTCACTCTGTGTGGCTGTAACCTGGGCAGTGCAGTTTAGCGCTTACAAGTGTGGGCCTGGAGTGAGAAAGACCTGGGATCCAGTCTTGGCTCCTTTACTACCTGGTGGCCTCTGAATTACCTGAACGCTGGGCCTCAGTTTCCACAACAGTGTATCCACGACAGAGGATAAACTCATCTGCCTCTTGGGAGAGGAGTCAAGAGCATCAAGTCCAAAACCGGATGCTGGTTTGTGGCAGCAGCCGCTTGCACCCCCTCCTGGCTCCTTTACAACAAACTCCCCCAGGGCCCCGTGTCCTGCCATGGCTACTCCTTCCCAGTCTGTCCCCACTGCTCCCAGTCACCACACCCTCCTGGCTGCCTCTCCGAGGATCAAGTCTCTGCTTCCCTCAGCACCTTACACAACTGACCACCTCCTCCTCCGCGGAAAACCTTCTCTTGGCTGCCACACCACACTGTCCTGCTTTTTCTTCCTTTCTTGGACTCCTTTACCGAACTCCCTGCCTTCTTCGCTGGCTCCTTCTCATCAACCAACCTGTAAAAGTTGACCGCCTGAGCACTGGACCCTGGCTTCACTTCCCTTCATTCTTGGGTCATCTCATCCCATCTGATGGACATTCCAGTGATTTCTAAATCCTTTTCATTTGCCCTACCCTCTTTTGCCAGCTCCCAGGCTGGTATATCTAACACTCTACTTGGTAGCTCCACTCGAGATACCTCAAACTGAAGGTGCCCCCAACCTATACCATTAGTGAATGCCAGCAAAACACACCTGGTTACTTATGCGCAAGCCCCCAAATCAACGATGAGTTCATCCTTGCCCACTCTTTCCCTCCTTCCTCAAACCCTATCCTGTCCGTTCCTGCTCTCATATCCCTGTGGCCCAGCTGCCTTCGCCTCGGTGGGGGCCGGCAGCCTCTGCCACGCCGATTTCTCACCTAGCGGCTGCAGCAGTCCCCTAACTAGTGTCCTCGCTTCCTCCTCCTGACAGCCTGGAGTCCACGAGGCAGGGCAGCAGGGGCGAAGGCTTAAAACACAGAAAGCACGCCACGCCCTCCCAGGGCGAATCCCAACCCCCGAGCGGGCCCGCGGGGAAGGCCTCCCACCATCTGGCCTCTGCCGGTGTCTGTCCCGGTGCCGCGGCCGCCGCCACGCTGGCCCCTGGCCGCTCGCCAAACCCATCCCGCCCGTGTCGTTCTTTGCACTCGCCGTTCCCTCCTCCCTAGACCTTTGCTCGGCCGAACCCTCCTCAAGGGTCCCGGCACCTCCCACCACCTGACGTTGCCCTGTTTGCCCACGTGTTTACTGCGCGCCCCGCACTCCCACCCCGCCGCGGGCTGAGGCCTCTCGGCGGCCC